TACCTGCTCCTAATATTTACACAACCGTAAATGCCATTCGCGGGCATTGTGCAGGGCAAGAAGCTGGAAAACATCGACAATGGACATTATAAAATGTTGAACGTTGAGCATGAACATCCAGAATTTCTTCTGACGATAAGATTGATTGGCTACAGAGGAACTATGTCCGTTCCATACAAACACATCCTCATTGCAACTGGTCGTATATGGACACTTTGTCAAACCCCGTGGCGTCACTTTCAAACGCAATGGGTAGCCCAGCGCACAGTCATTTCAAACAAAAACACTTGCTTAGGTTTGGGCAACAAAACCACGTACATTAAGGGAAGCATCATTGCTGGGCTTTAAATAACTCCTTAAACTTAGTTTAGGCAACAAAACCACTACGTTGGGTTTAGCAATAAAACCACTAAGTTAGGTTTAGAAAAAGTATTGTGGTTGGGCTAAAAACAACTATGATTAACGAAGTAAACAACATAAACAACGTAACGTGTATGGAAAACACTTATCTTCACGTTTTCTCTTCAAAATAACTCAACACCTTGAACACCGGTCTCCTGGTTAAAAATACCCGCCCGGTGTGGGTATTTTCAGTCTTTTTACTAATCACCACACTCCTGGAGCCTTTTCTCTGGGCGTCTCATAATGACGCAGATGGATTGACATTGTAGTTACTTCAAATCCCGGTGCATCTCATATAGAGGCTAAAGGGTGCCTTGTGCATTGCTATGAGATGCCAAGCGGTGTGAAAAAGCAGCGATATTTGACATTGTGGGAATGAAAGTAAGCTATGTTTACTTCGATGTTATCAAAAGTGATAACGTTAAAACTATGAGAAAAAAAAGACATGTCATTGGTATATTTACACGATGTCATATTTGTGAAAAGTGTTGTCATTATCATTAATGAGCTGGAGTAGAAAGACTTGAGTTGTAAAATGAGGCGTGGGCGTAGTCTCAAATAATTTAGTGCAACAGGGCCAGACAACAGTTGTCTCACTGGGGAAGCTGACTTACAGGATGGAATTTGAAACCTAACATTGTTGTCAATATATAAATTAGCTTGGGAAGTTGATACACTGCAGTTGGCATATGGTGTCTATTTATCTACTTTGTCCAGTCGTGTTCGGCTCCTTTTCATCAATAAACCACAGAAATGCCAACATTCTGACCATAAAGGGATACTCCACATATCTGCATAAAATTATATTGTTTTCACCTTTAAAGAAATAGAGCCTAAAGTAGTCTGACTTTTAGTCATGTGTATGGTTTAAACATCCCCATAATGTAACTAAAACATATATTTCTTTACAAACTCTGACTGATTAATGCTCGCGTCTTTTAAACTCCAATGCTCCAGTTAGTAACACAGGCTTTTTGTTATATACATGTAATCTATAAGTACGAAGTAAGGACAAGAACAAAGGTGATGACCTCATCAAGGTTATTTTCTCAGACTTAACAAAGCTTCTCCAGAGCCACAGAGGATACTGCATGATACTGCATTACTAATTATTCATTTCAAACGTTGTTATTGATACAGTAACCTGTATGACTACTAGTCATTCCTTTCAAACAGCGTCCTTCATACAGTAACCTGTACTAGTACAAGTAATTCATTTCAAACAGCGTCCTTCATACAGTAACCTGTATGACTACTAGTCATTCCTTTCAAACAGCGTCCTTCATACAGTAACCTGTACGAGTACAAGTAATTCATTTCAAACAGCGTCCTTCATACAGTAACCTGTACTAGTACAAGTAATTCATTTCATGGAATTTTTGCCCGATGACGTGAAGACAAGTGCCTACTGCAGCTTTGTCACAGGATGAGTATGATGCATGGGTGGAAAATGTAAAAAAAGAAAAAGACTTGTTAGACTTACGTTTGTTAGGAAAGTACTAGACATTTTCATCTGTTTTAATAAATGCTGAGAAATAGTGAACATCCGTAAAACATGGGGCATTTCCCCGTGGTTATAATCACTAAAAACACTGATTGTGTCTCGTCTGTGTTTATAAGTTGTTTGTTTGTCTGGATTTGCACCATGCGCCGATTCCCTCCGTCTCACGTCGAAACATCTCAATTATGCCTTCTCGCCTGTGTGTTTTACACTGTGTGTTCGTGTGTGTGTGTGTGTGTGTGTGTGCTGATGTTATGGTGGGATCCATTATTATGCCCCTGGTTTGTCAAGGAACACAGAGGTAGGGCTCACTGCCAAGACTGAGACCTATCAGATGCACATGTGTGTGCGTGTGCCCACACTCAATGGGAAATGTATTCAGACTGAACCATGGGAATTGTAGGGAGGCAATTTGTTATTTTCTATCAGATTCTCCACCCAAAATCAAGATCCAATTAACAGGCGGGGGAGCATTGAATAATTTATTCTAACAAGGGAGGTAACGAATTGCCTTGTGTGCAAGTTAGTTTCTATGCGTCTGTGTGTGTGTGTGGGTTGTAAGTATGAAGGAAAGCAGAGCTACGTC